TCAATAAAGCTTCACCACTGAGCTAGAGTTCAGAGGACATCAGGAAACTTTAGACTATTACATTTTTGAAAATTAAATGAATCACAAGCTCATTTATCAAAAAGAATGAAACATTCTCTTAAACCTAAGTAAACAATAATGAAAACATAAGTTATAAAGTATACTAGTGGTTTTCCTCTTCCCATCCATTGTAACGTTACTGAAATAATGTTGCTACGTGACTGCCTGTAGTATTAGTAGAAGCTAAACAGATACTGGCTGAAGGAGTGAGCTACCACTATACTTCCGAAGTACGTAGCATGACGGAATCAACGCCAGCTCTTAATTTGCATGAATATTAATTTCATCAGTTTGGAAATAAATGCAAATGGTCTCACAGTTTCAGGAATAAAGATCAGCTTCTTTCAGTATTTAGACCTAACTTACTTCTTACCTGTACAACAGTTTCTTGTCTCATTTTCATGGATAAAAATAGAATTTTCCTTCCAAACTATGAAAAGTTAGTGAAAGTCAGAGCCCCTGACCTTAGACTAGCCTGGATGCCCTGGTATAAATTAATTCCTAACCACAGTTAGTTTATAATCTAACAACAGTGTTAGGCTATATGCAAATGACAAAAATATATACCAGGGAATGGTAAGTGCAAGATCATGTCCTCCTTCTGCTTAAAATCCCGGTTTTAACGGCTACATGCTGCGCGGCCCGGAGGATGTGTCGTGAGTATACCCTGGTCCACCCCAGACTCCTTGTTCGCCGCTCACCAGCCCCGCTGGCCAGCTTTTTACACTTCAGATACACCAGGGTCTTTTCAACTGCTGCTTCCTCTGCCTGGAACATTCTTCCTCCAAACCGTCAAGGGCTGGCTCCTTTTGTCACTTAGGTTTCACTTCAAATGCTACCCTAACTTTCTCCCTCACCTCAGCCCACATTACTGTTAGATTTTAATATGATCAATAAAATGAGCATTTTCTGATACAGTATTTATATTTTACTTGTTTGACCTGCCTATCATCTGTCTCTCCTCCTAGAATGAAGCTCCACAAAACCAGAGCCTTGGTGTGTTTCACCCAGGACCTAGGATAGCACCGTGTGAGCGGCAGGGGCTCGATAGATCTGGTTAAAGCATGAACGCTCACATGCCACGTATTTCCACCTCGGCATCTGGCGCAGGGCTCATCACGTAATAGCTACCTCTCGAAAGACTGCAATCCAAATGCCTTCCTATTATGTCAAGACGAAGTCTGAGCCTTTCGGATGGCATTAGGACCTCTCCTGTCTTAGACCCTGTCCACCTCTCCTACTGCCGTTCCTCTCCCGTTTTACTCTCTACAAATACTGAATTTCCTGCTGTGACCTGAGCAGACCAGGCTCTTTCACACTGCCATGCTTTTCCATTCGGTGCCCCCTTGCCTGGGATGTCCCAATCGCCACGAAGCCTGTCCTTTGCCACCGTCACCCCCGATGCATAGCTGATTGCTCCACTCTGAGTTTTCACAAAGCCTTGAACATATCTCTTCCTGAGTTCCTATTTTTTTAAAAAGCCTTGTCTCTCTTAATATACAGTGAACTCCCTGAGAACAGGGTGATGCCCTATTCTTTCTAGCGTCTAGCTGAATGCCTGGTGCCCACTGAAATCAAAACAAATACTTGTTGAATTGAATCATCTAAACTTTAGCTATACTAGGACAAGCATTTTAAGGATTGCTAATAAGGAAGCCAAAATGCCTTCATTTCGAAATGTGTCTGCTTACTGCTAAAGAGGATTCATACATGTAAAATAATCAGCCTACTACGAACACGAGAATTCACCTTACTACAATCAGATCTGATACATTAGTCTAGATCTAATAACTACATTAATTTTGTTAACACTGACAAAAATACAGTATTTCCCTAATATTTACCAAGGTATAAAAGCACATATGACAGAGCTATAGCAATTACATAAAAAGAATATCCATTATAATCTTTAAAAAAAAAAACCACTAAGAAAACTAATACTTACTTATTTTTGGCCATTAGCTTGAAATCTGGCTTACTTCTCACAGGCCTTTCCAAAAAACAATACTAGTGGTTCCAACGTCTTTTTAAAAGGTTTCATTGAACAACTGCTAACACAGCTGGCCTGAGGTTTTAATCCCGATCCCAGCACCGATCACATACACCCAGAACAGAGCAAGAGGAGAAAAAACGAAAGCGGCCCTTCGAGGAAGACACAGCCCGCAGGTGACGCCGCCACCCAGAAGCGCCTGTGCACGAACCTGATCGCGCTCTGCGACGCGCAACGCTCATTAAAACCCAGGAGATTTTTAACCTGCAGGTCATTCCTTCCACCTGTCGACTTTAGAACAAAATCGGATTGGACTGCATCTCATTTAAAACAACCTACCAGGTTAGAAATACTGGAAACAAATCAAAGAATTTCAAAACTGTTTTGAAAAGAAAGCAAGGGCCAGGACAGAGCGCTAAAAGGAGCCCAGATTGGCCATGCACCGGCCCCCGTCTCTCCCCACCTCAGGCAGCTGGCTGTTAGCATTGTCCGGAGAAGCCTCCAGACTTGGGGTCCCATCTCTGATGTGAAGCACCTCTTCTGCTGTGACGCTGCCCGTGGAGTCCCGAGAGGGGAGGAGGGCGTCGGGCTGGTCCGGGACCGTTTCATCCGCAGCCGAATCGCTGTTCAGCTAAAGGGAGAAACGGCAGAACGAGGAATGCGCTTGTGAGTCAGCGGCGGTCACAGAAGCCACAAGAGACGGTCTCTATCACGAAATATTTTAGGGGTTAGTTGTAAAGAGCTTCCGCGATTTCCTAAAATGACCTTTCTTTCCACCCAGGGTACGCCGGCGTGGGTGCCTGCCAACGTAAGCGCTGACCCCTCGGCACAACTAACTGCACAAACAGGTTCCATTTTGCTAAACAGAAACTATCAAAGGTGAAGAGCTCTGTGTAACTGTGTAAACCTTGAGCTAAACTCGTATTTTTTATGGTAATGTTTTGTCTTTCAGTTGGTCTGAGGACTTTAAAGGCAGGAGCTCTCTGACCCCCGGGTGGTCGCACGAAGCAGTCTGAACTGGCAACTCCCCTATTTAAACAAGGATCAATTCCACCCAATTGCAATAAGACGAAAAGAGTTAGGAAAATGATGCAAAGTTGTTACAATGGCAATCTGTTACTGGTGGGGTTTATTTTCTTTGAAAAATAGTAATTATTAATTAGGAAAAAGAAAATATTACACTTTTTCCTTTTAAGCAGGGTTATAATTTTTTCAGAATTAATATTTAAAATAAGAAACATCAAGTTCCTGATTTAGAGTATGTTAAGGCTAAACTTAAATTTTTTTTCCTATAAGGAGGAAGCAACTTCCAAAAAAAAAAGTTTTTCTTTTTCACCCTCAATACCACCACGCCTGGGGTGGGCCTGGGAAGCAGACAGTCAGGTCTGCCCCGTGGCTCTCGTGAGAGCTAATCTTTATTGAGCACTTACTATACGCGAGGTGGCTTTCCTCCTCCTAAAATTCCCAGCAAGCGGACGCTATCGGGAGTCCTGTTTTAAAGGAGAGGTTAGGTAACTTGACCACAGTCACGCGGCGAGCGGAGCCAGCCCGAGCCTACAGGTGCACGGAGGCGAGGCCGCAGCGGGTGCGGCGGTTTGGGTGCCCCCAGCCACAGCTGAACAGAGGCAAAGCCAGCCCGAGCCCAGAGTCTGGCCCCATAGACACTGAATGCGCCTCGGTCAGTCAGTCAAGGTCGCCAGCAACTTGACCACTCCTTTGAACGACAACAGCCCCACGGAGGACGACCAGGCCCTCCAAACCCATGTACCAGTCGTGCGTCCCGGGACAAGACATTTAATCTGCAGAACTGCAATAACCAGTCCTGCCGCGCGTGGCTGCGGGGAGAGGTGCGGTGACTATTGCACGTAAAATACCTGCAGTGGGGCCTGGCGCACTGCAACTGCTCAGTAAGCGGTAACCGGCTGTCGCTATCGGTAGCAGTTTACCATTTAACGCTTAGATTGCGGTGGGCAACAGTGAGATATCAGAGCAGGAGAGCTGGGAGGAGGCCAACCACAAAGCGACAACTCCGCACGTCGTCTGAAGCTGTCTCGGGCCCGCCGTTGCACATGGCGGCCAGCACTTTGCCAGCGGAGGGTGGAACAAATGGGTCTCAATTAAAGGGGGTCTAGTTTAGTCTAGCATGAAAAAGGCATTCCCATAAGCGCTGCGTACCTGTAGCCGGCGCCTGGTCTCCCGGTTGCTTCCGTGTCACCTGCACCAGGGTGGCTATTCTACCTGCCCCCTTGCTGCTCACACAGCCCTTCCCAAGCCCCGACCCTACCGCTGCGCTGCTACGGCCTTCCCTGCACGCCCGCCTTTCCTGCACGCCCGCCGTTCTGAAACAGCAGACTACTGCTGCGGCGTCCAGCCTGTGGGACGGGAGTCAAAGCCCCCACATAACCGACTTGATCTGGAAAGGGACCCCAGTCGTGCTCTGTCCTTCCAGGCTAACCAGGAAAGAAAAGTGGGTGGCGAATTAAGCGGTGTTGTTTGCACACACTGATACGAAAAATTGGTATTGATCAAGACGAGGGCCTTGAAAAGTGCCCAGAGCAACTTACCGCGACTAGGAGAGAGGCAAGGTAAGATATGCCTCAGTGCTAACGGGTGTGCAGTTTCAACTCTATCGGCTTAGTTCTGTCATGAACAACAGAACAGCACACCATTGCCACTGCAACTTTGCATCTTCACTTCAGTGTGTGCATTCTACCCATATTAAAATAAAAACTGGGAAATCGAGAAACAATAATTACTGAGTTGGAGGTTAAGAGGGAAATGGGAGCAGCTGTCTCTACATGCAAAGGGAACTGTATACCATCTGCGTGCGCGAGAGTATCTGGCTTGCAGTGAGAGCCGCTTCTTCTTCCGAGGACTCGTCCGTGTCCTCCTGGTTTGTCAGGTTCAGGCTGGGGGTGCTGCTAGAACACTGGTATTCCTGGAGGGAGGGCGTGTCCCCTTTGTCGATACTGTCCAGTGACCGCCTGCGGACTCCCCAGTTGAAATTGTCCATGCTTTCACCCTAGAAAAAGCGAGACGTGATTTATAAGACCTCAAATGTATGTATAAATGTAGGAAATGTAATATACCAGGAAAACATATACCAAGACGAAAAATACTTAATGCATCATCAAAAGCAGAGTTTCAATCAGCCCTTCAATTTCTTTAAACTCCTAACTCGCCATTAAGTATTTATGTTTAAAGGGACCAAAATTATTTGGTTGACAATCTGTGTTAACTAAATTTTCTTGACTTTCTATCTCGTATTACTGGGGACCAACCAAATCTAGTATCTAGGCCACTTCTATTCTAATACACAAACACGAATGAGACTACAAAGAAGACAAATACATCGCAGATGACAAGTAAACAATCAACAACACCGAGCTACAACTTACCTGCAGCTCCTGGTTAGCAAAAAGGAAAACACACAGAATTAGAAAGAACGAAGACAAACATTCAAATATATGCTACACTTTTGGGGGGAAACTCTGTGATTTCTCAAACTCAAAGACTGATTCAAGCTCTGGATTAAGCTTTGTGCAGGAAGCCGACATGTGATTCAAACTACTTCGTTAGGCATCATATATCATGAAAAAGTCAGAGACAGACACTTAAAACAACATTTCTATGATACACTTTGGCAACACAAACTTTAAGAAAATCTTCCAAAATTTACATAGATTTCATACTTGGTACAATGCAAATACTGACTTAAAATACCCACATTCAACTGACAACATACAAAGTCATAATTAGTTTAGTCTGTAGGATGGCTCTGGCTAAATTCGATGGTCATTTTTTACTATAAAATAATTTAAAATCAAGATCGCAGCTATCAAGATACAACCGTTGCCAGTTTCAAAGGAATTATGACAAATTTCAACTTCATACCACTTAAGGATTTATATAAGTTATGTTTCTGTCATTATAAGCTGATCCTGCTTTTATAAGGCTATAAATACAATTCTTACAATCTTTCTCAGGCCTTGATAGGACAAATGACACTGAGTTGGCTAGCAAAATATGATTTATTTGTATCACTTTACTTAGGAAGGCATTGTCCAGATTAGACGTTTTCAGATTTTTCTTTTCTTTTTTATAAAATAAAGCAGAAGAGTATTTATTTCAAGTGAAATTTTAGATGGAAGTCAATTGTGCAAAACTACTAAAACCAGAGCTGCTCTGGTCGAAGACAATACCCAGGAGCTCTGCTCATTTGGCCTTCGGACCTGTCCCTGCTGTTTCGCAAGGTATCTTAGAAGCCCAGGGCTCTGCAGGTCCAAGTTTGAAAACCACGTTCCTAAGGACATTTTAAATATTATTATGCAGTGTAACACATAATCATGGCAGCAGCCCTTAATATATATTTGGTGAGTGAATAGACACTGTGGGCTTTTAAAGCAGGGGGACATTTTAGAAGTTTCATTAGTAATTAAGCTTGTTTTGTAGCAATCAAAAGATATTTTGTTACCATGTTTTAAATAAGATTAGATCAAAGTTCCAGAAAGTCTGTATCATTTGATTTGGACTGATTATAAGGTACAAATTAGCATCCTCAGCCCTGCCCCTCAGATTGCTGTGACTTGCATTGAAGACAGAACTACAATAAGCATCTTTAATCCATTCTGACTAAGGTTCTATTAACAGCCATGTTCATTACTACTGGCATTTTGGAGTGCTGGATGAACTTGAAAGCATTTACAGTGCTCTTTAAACAAAAAAAGGTAAACAAACAACAACAAAAAATAACCCTACCATTACGAAAATGTCAAGAGCCTGCCTTTAGTATTTTAAAATCTGAACTGAGAAAAAAACAAATAACTACGCAAGAGTTTAGAAGCTGCTCATGGCCTTAAGGTAGAACAACAGGTTTCTTTGACTCATCCCACTCTGCTGCCTGGTTGTGCGAGTCTGTCCTATTTCCTACAATATGGTTTTCAAATGATGAGTGTGAAATCAGTCTTAGGGGGTGGTGACCTGCCCTTTTTGGGGAAAAAAAAAATGAAATGAAAAGAAAAGAAAAGAATAGAAAATATCAACATGCACAGCATAGAGTAAGGATGCATATTCTTAAAACCTTTAAAGGCGTGTCTGTGTATATACACGTGGAAGTTATATAAAATATATTAACTGTGGAATAGTGTCAAAAAAAGTTTAAAAGCTACTCTCCTCCAAGGTGCTGAATAGTGCTTGCTCTTGAGTTGCTATGAACCTGCACAACTGTGTCTTTGGGAGCATGTACACGGTGAAGCATTAAACAGGAGCCCGCACAGCTCCCGAGCTGGCACGAAGGCATCTGTGCGACTCTGAGGCACCGTGGTCATGTCCTCACATCTGCAGGGCGAGCAGAAGCACACGAGGAGGGGAATCTCACCTCCCTCAACCGGTCTCCTGTCAACAGCTAACAGTGCGATATGGGATGGGCCGTCACATTTTAGCCACAGGAAACATCCCTTTGATAGAGTTGATGAATGCATATGAGCTATATGAGTTTTGGTTCTTCAGAAAAAGTTACATCAAGAAATGATGTATAGATACTTGATATTAAGGCATTTTCGTCTTCTTGCATACAGATATTTGTAACAATTTAAGAATGTATACTTTTTTCTTTTTTTTTTAACCTATTTGACATAAACTTTTCAGGGTTAAGAGACTGTGTTTTAGGGAACTGATCTCAGGTCCAGGAATGGATCCCTGCTAGCCTAAGATAACTAGGGCAATACTGTCCTATTTACAACGGTGACTGTTTCAGAAATTGGTGTGTGTCCCAACTCGGGCCAATGAGATGTGTCAGGAAGTTTGCTCAGAGCATTCAGGAAAGCAACTTCTTCACTTTTCCGAGAGCATTTCTGGAAGCTGCCGTGTGTGATCTTACGTTCGCACACAGCAGCGACAGCCACCTCGCTGTAGCGTGAGGTCAAGCTGACTTGCAGAGGAGGGCGGAGCCCAGAGAACTGCAGAGAAACAGCCAGAGACTTCGCTGAGCCACAGCTGAGTATAAGCTCTCACTCTGGACGAGCACAGTTTTGTGAGCGAAGAAAGCTACTTTTTGAATTTAAATTTCCGTTTACATTGATACGAGAAAGCGTCTATCAATATAATCCAGACTGAATCAACTTAGAGGAGAAAGCCTTTTGGGTATTCAATGAAACGAGGCATGTGAGAGAGTCAGCTCCGTCATGAAGAAGAAAGTGGTCAGGAACGTCATAGGAAGAGTTCTAGAAAGACAAAGCCTTCTTGACAGTCAATATAGTGGTAAGTGCCACCCTCTTTAAAGTTGTTTGATCGATTTTAATATAATTTTTTATTTTTTTGTTGCATGTTAATTTGTATACCTCCTGCAAAATATTTAAGACTAAAGCACACCCTAAAAATAATTTTGAAGAAATTTTTTATGTTTCCAAAGATAAAGATGAAAAGCTGACAGTTCTTTTATTTCATACTTATTCTGCTATCAGTTAATTGTGGTAATCACATTTAGTTCCTAATTTAGAGTTTCGCCTTTATGATCTTACACTGACCCCAGTGAGGAATGACCCTCTGGTCAAATCCTTAGTTCTCACACAACCGTAACTACTCTATAAATATGAACGTAGAAAGGCCCCAGCCTCACCTCTGCGTCTTCCAGTTCAACATCTAAAAAGTCAAAATCCTTAAAAACACCAAACTGTTGTTCGCTGCTGTTATCTTCCACGGCTGCTTCTTCCTCCTGAATTATGTCCTCTGTCGTAGAGATTAGGCTGGTCTGTTGGTCACCGACCTCCAAATCCTCATTAGAAGAAAATACAACCTGACACCCCACACGGGAAAAAAAAAAAAAAAAAGACAAAAAGAATAAAAGTCCATCTGTCAGATTTGTCACTCTGCACATGAGCTATCAGCGTCCCAAAGCCACTGTAGGCCTCGACCTTCAACAACTTCAGAGCTTAAATTTGGTCTTCATGTCCAACGAGTCAAATCCCTAATTAGCCCCGCTGCCAGGTATCCCAACAGACAGGTATCTTTTTTATTCTTAGTTAATACCATAAGTTAGGTGAATTAGAAAAGGCAGGCAAGGAGGCAGAATCATTTCTTCAGGGAATGAATGATTTTTAAATCTTTACACATGTCCTTGTGATTACTCACCGATGGATTCTTTGGGAGACCGGATTCCGGACCACAGAGAGAAAGCACATTCATTAGCTTTTCTCTTGTTCTTCGCTAAAGAAAAAAAAAAATTCAAATGTTGGGATTACTGATGAAATAAGACATATTCTCAAGTTTTCACACATATAACGAAACCGATTCTTCTGTTCTGTGACTGTGCAATTGGCTATTACTCACGTACCTGCGATAACTGTGGCCTTTTCCAACTAACAGGAACCAGGGCATTAGAATTAGAGCCAGAAGACGTGGAGGAAGTACTTCTAGTGACCGCGATGACTTTTGGTTTCCCATTTCTTCCAGCTGCACTGTGCTGGTCGCCATATTTATTTCCAATAATTGGAGTCTACACAGAAACAAAATGCCAGTGTTTGGCTCAAATATTTCTGCATAAACTTATAAGACTTAACATTTTTTTTTTACAAACAGCCAAAAAAAACAACATAAAGAGAGAAATTACTTAGCATGAGGTAGATGTTATAAAAACCAAAGGTAATGATATCTTTTTTTTTTTTAATCATGAGACTTGACTTTATTGGAAATAACTTTATATCTGGGATTATCAGAAAGCCTATTCCTATTCTAAATGCAATCTGCTTTCTTTAAAAACCACCAGCTCCACCTCCCCCTTGCCATGGTGGTAAAACATATCCTCCTTGTGGAAAGCTTGGAAAATATAAAAAAGATTTTTAAAAAATCACCTGTATTCTCACCAGATTTAATAGCTGTTAAATTTTGGTGTTTTTCCAATGCATACAGTTAAGTGTGCTTCAATAATGTGGTTTAGCAAATATTGATGATAAGTGACAACTTCAAAGAGGAAAATTTCTATGTAGGTTCTTACTACAAATCTTATGTGTAATAGTCCCAAAATTTATTTCAGTAAAAATTCTATGATAATGCAAAACTCCTTTGTATTTATTTTGGTTTGCACAGTATTTTAAATTTGCATTTGAAGAAAAAATTCAAGGTCACGTACATGTCATACGAGTAAATCTCTTTATCTGTTTCCTTCTTGTTTCCCTAGCCTCAAATACTACCAACTCCCTCCAGAACTTCACACTCCAGCAAAACTGAGCTTGCTATTGTTTCCCAAACACACTATGATCTTTTATAGACCTACATTTGGCACGTGTTGGCTCTTTTGCATGGGAAATCCAGAAAGTAAACCCCTAATCATCTTTTCATGTTGAGTCCAGACTTCTAAGGAGTCTTCTCTCACACCGCCACCCCCTCTGTGTAATCAAACTTGGACATTTACCATCCTGTCAATTCTTCTACTGTGCCTGTCTCTTCTACTACACGCGTGTCCCCGGGGCCATGTATAATCACCTCTGTACTTCCAGTACATCTCCAGTGTCCATGCATGGCAAGTACTAAAGAATTTTTGGTGAAACGAATGGAAATTAAGCATATAAAATGTTCTAAGAATTGGCATTACTGCTTCAAATAAAATAATTAAGTTATACGATCAATTTATAACTCAGAAGAAACAGGAATGCCAAGTTTCTCTATCATGTTCTCATGCTACATATTTCATATTAGAAATTCTCATATGTTAATTAACTTCAAAGTTAGCAATAAACATATTCTCTATTTAAAAAAAATAACCTAAAAGACCTACAAAAAATTTTTGGATAAATTCTATTACCAAGACTAAAACTGCAATAAAAAATATTTTTATCTATATAATCCTAATCAATAAAAACGTAATTAGATCTCCAATTTTTTTTCATCTTTCTCAAGCTCCCTAAAATACTTGATCAATAACTTCCTTCTTAAAAAACCGCATTTCCGTGGCTTCCAAAAGACCATTTCAATAGAATCACAGCCACCAAGAGTCAGGTGCCAGAGGAAGAAAACTCAGGATTCCCAGTAAGGGTCAAAAATCTTGACATGAGATTTGTATTAATATGTAACAAAGTCAGGCTTCGGCTGTCCTTCTGGACTGGTGGGCCCTACCTTTGTCTAGCCCTAAAATATTTGGCTTCTCAGGTTTCACTTTATTTTAGCCTTGTTTTCTTTTTAGTTTTCCTTCCATGGTTTTAGCTACCCACTTATGCGACACTGAAAACCCTCCATCTAATTGTCCACTAGGCATCTCCATGAGTATGTTTTAGTCACTTCAGAGTCTACGTGTCCAAGAGCCAACTCGTCACTGTCTCCTTCCTGGGGCCACCATTCATCCACCGTCAGGGCCATTCCTCAAACCCTTGATGCCTCCTCCTCCCTCCCATCAGATCCCATCAGTCACTCCCTTGGTCTTTTTGTAAACTATCGTTTCCCTCTTCCTTTCCTCTGCAATTGTTTTGGGATAGTGCCACATTATCTTGTGCCCAGATCATTCTAACAGATTCTTTACTGATTTTCCTCCCTCCTCCCTGGGCTATTTTCCATCTTGTTACAAGAGTGATCTTCCTAAAATGCAAATCCTGATATTTGCTATTCCAGCTAAAAATCCATTAAGAGCTACTACTGTGTTAACATAAAACCAGCTTGTTACTATGGAATGTAAGATCTCTATGCTCTCGCCCTTCCTGAGCATCCAGCCTCATCTCTCATCACGCTCTACCTGCATTCTCTCAACTCTGCACTCAAGGTACGCTGTACTATTGGAAGCATCCAGAACACCACGCTTTCCCACACGTACAAGCCTTCATTCACACACACTCCGCTTCCCTGGATTTAACCTCTCCTCCCCAAATTCCCTGTCTAGGGTTACTCTGTCTTTCAACCCTCAGCTCAAATGCTACTTCCTTGCTGAGACCATGCCTGCAGGTAGGTGCTATATATTCCCACAGCACTTTTAATTTACTTCCAGTCAAGCACTGATCAGCATGTGTATCTGCCTCCTCCCCACCCCTACCCTGCTTTTCATAACAGCCGTCACAGGCGTCTGCCACTCAGGATGAGCTCAGTCAGCGCCTGTGGGATGAGAGGATGAATGAATGAATATTCCCAAATGAGCATCTTTATCGATTCCTGAGCATCTTACCTCAGATATGTCAAAATGGAAATCTAAAGTCTTCCCAGGCAACTCCTTAGAAACATTATTAAAAATCTTAGTGAAGGATATTTCAGGAGAACCTATATCTCCTCCATAGGTCTTGGGGACATCGTTGGGTACAACAAGACTTGCAGAGCGTGACACCACCAGTTTTAATATGTTAAGGGCTTCCTTCCAGTAAGGACTCTGGTTTAAAAGATAATTAACACATAAGAGTTACAAATACGTATTTATGTAAGAATAATTTAGTATACACTGTAGACTATGAAAATAATATTTACATACATAATGATACCAAATCAGAATATCTTACTTTTCTCCCAATAAATCTTTTATAATTATCATTAATTTGGAAAGTCTAATATGATAATCTCGCAATAGTGGTAAACAAAAGGGTTGTGGATGCTTGAACTTTCTAGGTGAATGAAGTTTATGGCTTTAAGATTCTAACATTTAAATATTTTAAGTCTTACAGATACTTTTTTAACATACGCTTTCTTTCTCAGACATAAAGATATTAAATACTAGAACATATTTTGGACATGTTTTCTTGATAACCCATGCTCCAAATAATGACTGTCTATACTACACTAAAGTGTTTCTCAGGGATTACTGAGTTGTACAGGGTGAGTTTTTTCTCCCCTAAATATTTGTGGCTATGTTTTTAAAGTTATTTTTCTGGTTTTTTCCTACCAACATAATTTAGGAGTGATTTACATGTTAGATGTATATGTGGAGAAGAATCAATGTTTGATAAACAATTTATAGTATCTTTCTTTTACCATTTACTTAAAAGAATACATAGAAAAAACTGCTTTTTTTCTTATTTATGGTACCAAAATCATATCTCAACCTTCTATTATACATATTCTTTCACAGTTGACATCTAAAGAAAGAAAGACACCATTAAAACAACAATAGCAGGCCGGGTGCGGTGGCTCAGGCCTGTAATCCTAGCACTCTGGGAGGCCCAGGCGGGCGGATTGTTTGAGCTCAGGAGTTCGAGACCAGCCTGAGCAAGAGCGAGACCCTGTCTCTGCTAACAATAGAAAGAAATTAATCAGACAACTAAAAACATAGAGAAAAAAAAAATTAGCCGGGCATGGTGGCGCATGCTTGTAGTCCCAGCTACTCGGGAGGCTGAGGCAGAAGGATCGCTTGAGCCCAGGAGTTTGAGGTTGCTGTGAGCTAGGCTGACGCCACAGCACTCTAGCCCGGGCAACACAGTGAGACTCTGTCTCAAAAAAAAAAAAAACAATAGCAAAAAGGAAGTGACAAATTTTTGGCAGAACTGAGTTATCCAATTTAGTTATAATAACAACATCTTGATACGAAGGTACCTAAAACACAAAATATTTAATAACAAAAAGTCCACATTATACTGTGACATTTTAAGGTCATTGTTCAAAAAAAGTTTATATGTAACAAAGTCATGACTAAGTAGAAATTATCCTTTTTTTCTGACAAATAATTAGAAGCTCTGGGCATCATGAAATGCTAAACTTCTTCAGGGACGTTTCCATAAATTACAGTGGTAGGTGTGTTCTAAATGTAAGAAAATGTTTACTTTTTAAATACAGCACAAGTTACTGCAAAGAGCCATCAGCTAAATTACGATCTTCGTTCACACAAGATTTAAAAAGAGATTTGGAAAGAAATTTGAGTCACCATTTTAAAATTAGGAGATTTTAGAAAGAAATCTAGATTTTAAGCGTCTCTACAAATGAGAAGTTCTGGGTACACTGGACCTGTACTCCAACGTGACAACCATCAGGGAAGCTAAGCTGTGATGTCCCTTTTAGACGGGGAACGTGCAGTTCTCTGAGCCACAAACCTGCTCCCTCTGGTTACTTGCTTGTGCGGTGCACATGTGCACTTGTGGTCCTGAACTGTATCCATGGTTCACGAATTAGTAATTCAATGTGGTATGTGTTTCTACGTGAGACCCAGCAAATATTTGATAAGTTAACTTCATTAAGTTTTAAGAAGAAGAGAGAAATGTGCCTTGGAAAGAAGTATAATTATCTGGAGAAGCCTTACTCATTAGGGGATAAGAGAGAGAAGAAAATGGCCACCAAAAACTCTTAACATTTTTTGAATATTTGCAATCACCGATTTTCAAGGTAATCTGGATTATGTAACTGAATACCTAAAAAAAAAAAAAAACCCTTTAATACAGGTTTATTACTTTAAGGTATGGACTAGAGCAAATTCATTGCTAGCAAGTATTTCCCTAGGTTGTGCTTTAGTGAATGCAAATATAACTGGAGCACACACACAAAATTAATCTATTAAGGCTGTTCTCTTTGCTAAGTTGTATCCACCCTACTGACACACTCAGCAATCAATGCCTTTCCTAACAGATAGTTCAAAGGTGAAATTCAGTACAGACCAGGTTGACTTGTCATCATTTACATTTAAATCAGGCTTGATTTTCTACTTTCTAAATATCTGATATTTTTCATCAGACACAAAAAGTAACATTAAAATACAGGCTCCTCAAAGAGATCCTCTAAAAGTAGTATTTGTTCGCTATGTAGAATCTGGTTAAAAAACAGAAAGGTACAAAGAAGGAAAGAGCAATGAGTCACAATTCTAATTTCCAGAGATGGTGACCACTGCCATTTGTGTATACACATTCCTTCTACTCCTTACTGAAATGCATGTTTGTAGATGGAATTGTTAAAATCAGAAGTAGGAATCAGGCCAGGTGCGGTGACTCACGCCTGTAATCCTAGCACTTTGGAGGCTGAGGTGGGAGGATCACTTGAGGCCAGGAGTTTGAGGCTAGCCTGGGCGACATAGCAAGGCCCCATCTCTACAAAACTAAGAAAAATTAGCTAGGTGTGGTGGCACGTGCCTGTAGTCCAGCTACTCAGGTGGCTGAGGCAAGAGAATTGCTTGAGCCCAGGAGTTCAAGGATGCAGTGAGCTATGATCACGCCTCTGCACTCTAGCCCAAGCAACAGAATGAGACCCTGTCTCCAAAAAAAAAAAAAAAGAGTAGGTGTCACACCAATCCTACCATTCTGCTTCTGCCTTTTGCCACTCACGTTAAGAATATTTTCCATGTTGTAAACATTCCTGAAAACGTGACTTATGGATTAACCACTGTCCTCTTGGACATTTAAGGCATTTCCAATTTTTATGATTATAAATGGTTTTGAGATGAACAATGCTATATGTAAGCTTTGGGGTCACTCACCTGTACATATTTGCCAATAATCTTTATGATCTCCAGGTTGAACTGCTTGACAGGGGCTGCAGACAGGTCAATATGACTCAATAGACTGTAGATAATCTGCAGTAATGACTGCTGCATACTGGACAACCCTTTTTCTAACAGCTAAAAGTAATATTAAAAAGTATGTTTTAATGAGGTTAAAGAAAAACTCAGTATTTACATTTACGATGTTGAAAAACATAATAGATTTAACCTATGAGTTTATAGATTATTAGAAATCTAGAGGCTAATAAAATAAAAGGTAACGTTTATTACTGCTATTTTCCCTGGCTCAGAAAGGAGAATTAGATAATTATTTTTCATCTGAATTGCGGTGTTTTATTTCCTTAACTCATTCAGTTAAAAACCACTTATTTTGGGTTAGAAGGAAAACTGCCATCACCAAAGAATAACTACTTGCAAACCAATCATACCAGTCATGATATTAGCTATATGATCTTATACAAGGTTACTGACCTCTCTGGGCCGTGGTTTTTCTAAGTGCAAAATAGCAGTATCACATACGTTGTAGGGTTTCAAGGGCAGATTAAAGATACATAGTTTTAAAAACATCTAACTAGTTTTCATACAATTGTTAGCAATAGTTTTAGATTTATGAATAACAACAATACAGGGATCAAAAAGCATTCTCTTTACAGAGAGGGAAAATATTGTCCACATGTGGTACACAACAGCCTGCACTGCGCCCGTGCCAGACCTCGGAACCCCATGATCGCATCTTCCGAGAGCGCGAGTGCTACCTTGACAGTGACTTTCATGGTGGCACAGATTGAAGCCAGTCTGTGGCTCTTAAATATTATAAGTGGACAAATATTTCTAATGATTAGGAATCTCTTCCTTTTGAGGTTCTCTTTGTGGCTGTCTACTCAGTAATTTACTTTTCTGGGCATGAAGTTATTTCCCATGCATCAGATAAATATTAACTTTTTATGCTGTTCTACAGGTACTTTTTTTTTGTCATCCATTTTTTTGCCCCCTCAAAATCATATTTTAGATAGGAAGCTGATACGCCATCAAAATAAAAACTTGCCTACCCAGAAATGCTTTTGCATGCTGCGCTATCATTCTAAAAAGGATTTCAAAGCCAAGGGCAAATTTTGTAGAAATAAAAATTATAACCATTCTATAGGATTAAGACCACTAAAAACCTATTTTCCATTTTAAATGAAGGTGAGGTTTACATTATTTAGTTTTATGTCACTTAAGGACGGACAGTGAATAAGGAAATAAACACTTGAAAAAACAAAAACCCATCTTTATAAATAAGAACTTCCTTTGTACTTGAAAGGAATTAACTGTATTTTTCTTTACAGACAATTTGAATATTAGTACTAGTGCTGCTTCTAGAAACTCTGAAATTTCACTTGAAAATTCTGCCATAGAACAGCTAAGAAGACTATAAACACACACACACACACACACACACACACGCACACACGCACGCATATTTGAAAATTTACCTCTGCAAGATAAATCACGAGGCTGAATGTGGTATCTGAGAAGGAGTCATGCAGGTATCTACACACTACGTTGATCCAGTTGGAACAGTCTCTGGAATACGTGTGCGTGCTGTACAGACTCATCATGTGTGCCAGATTGACAAGTGTTGGGCATTTTTCTTCTGCGCAAACCTAGGAGACAAGTAAAATTATTTCATTCACTTAAACGACACAAGTTTAAACTTGATTTATACTAAATGTATTTATTTAATGAAACAATTTACATGTATATTTTAAAGTTTCAATACATTGTATTTCAATACAGTAGGAAAGTTAAACAGAAGAGAAAAGAGCACAGGGCATTATTGAGAACAGCAACAGATAGTATGGAAAGAGGATTCATGTGTCAAACACTTCTGTGGATACCAAATAGTACAGCTTTCTTCAATCTAAAGATCTGTAAAAGTGTCTTCGGTTAAAAACCCACGTATGGTTTTGTAAACCCTAGACGTCATCTTGGAACTGTTTTATCAAAGCCATATGTGGTTCAGTGCACGAGTGCCTAGGCAGGCAGACTCAACCTGGCGATTCTCAGGGGGGCTCAGAGCCGCTGTGCCGGGGGGGAGGAAACGCTTCAGATTCCAGCTGTGGCCAAGACATCTCAGTAGAGCGGCCAGTTCCCAAGAGGCTCAACGTGTGTGACAGAGTCAAAGGACATCATGGCGGGGCTCTGATAAAACTCTGAGTCTTGCATCTCTAATGGATGACAGTCTGCAGAGTAGACCCCAAACTGCTTGCTTTTCAGGAACTCTCCTAAAGCTCTCGGATCCTTGGCTGATCTTTCAGAGGCCACGTCAACATATGCTGACTTCTCAGAGTTTGTTGGATACAATTCTATGGAACCCGAATCAACAAATGTTTGGGGGATCTTACTGACCAAATGCACCTTCTTAGTCTGTCTGTTCCCTGGGTTATTGGTGAGGATGTTCCTTAGCCTCCTCCAGGGGCCACCTGAGTGACGCAGAACTGGAAACAGGCCACGCTAGTCTTCTGTATCTACCTATCCTAAAAGGCCAGCCGCGCTGCAATTTCTGCTTTTATTTTCCTCTTTTCACCTTCTTTACTTACTTTACCTTACTGGTGTTTCATGTGTATTTTCACAACTGCCTAGAACATTTACTAAAGAAATTAGAGTATTACGTTTTGAAATATGCATTTTTTCAACTTTCAAATGAATATCACTGGCTTTTACTTTGATAATTCAGAAACCATTTAATAGGCTACGTTTGTCATTTGGGCATCACCACCGGATGGGCCCAAGATAGAAAGCTACGCAAGGCTGTGCAGAGACTATGCACATGGCACCTTGGAAGTTATTTTATAAAACCATTAAAAGCAGCTGATTTCAAGCATCATCCCTTTGCCCATAAAACAGATACCAGAAAGAAGAAAGAAAAATTTTGTTGATATTTGCCTAGTTATTTGTATTTCAAAATGTTAA